TGATTTTGTTTATGCTTGGATTAGACGAATTTAGGATGGCCACCTAAAATCTAATTCCAAATTGATAGTTTTGATGTCTTAAGTACGTTAATAGCTGAGATTTTCAAAACACAAGTGTCACCCGATTAATACTTAATTGGCTCCCATCCGGTTTTTATTAATTGGAGTTTTCAAACTGGCTATGTTAAATAAATATAGTCTACTGCATAGTTGTTAAGTGATGTTTTCCAAAGAACTTAATGCTCTATTTTTAATTAAATCTGGGGGCAGGTCCTTGGGTTGTTAAGAATAGTAGGGTCTAGAGTTAGGGCAGGACTTAACATAGGCTATACTAGGGAGAATAGGGAAGAACCGCAGGTGGATTTCTTCTTCAACTTAACCCAAGAGTTTTGTCAATCGTTTTAATTTGGAGTAGTCTTAGTTAATTTGAGAATCTGGATTTGATCAATTTGTTTTCCAAAACTATAAAGTATTTTTAAAAATCAGTTTAAGTTAATTACTATCGTTGGAGTTTTTATAAAGTTTAAGTGTTTGTCTTTGTGTCGGTGTGTGCCTCATGTGTCTCCTTTCAAGGTTCAAGTTGATGCTCTGGTTGTGTTTTCTTTGCCCATTTTATCCTTTCTATTTATCTTTATCTTTCCAATTTATCTTTTAAACCCCCCCCCCCCCAAAATAGTTAGTTCTTTTATTAGTTGTTTTTTTTTTAAATGGAAAAAAATGTAAAACTTAAGTAAGTGATTTTCATAAAATAAAGAATATCTTTTTCCGTGGGATCGACTCTTATTTACCCTAGCTATAAACTATAAATTTAAAATTAAAAAGGGGATAAGAAAAAGAATTAATTTGTAGGCACTACGACACGCCTAACACTTCTCTCCTCGAGAGACGAGCTCAACGGTCTCGATACAGAAATCATCACTGTTCTGGGCTAAGGCTATCTGCTGTTGTAATGTGGGCTGGACGTGTAGCACAGCTAGAGTCTTACGACTAAGGGCATCGGCTACCATATTCGCCTTACCTGGGTGGTAAGCGATGTGACAGTCATAGTCCTTAATCAACTCTAACCACCTCCTCTGTCGGAGATTCAGATCCTTCTGCGTCAACAGGTACTGAAGACTCTTGTGGTCGGTGAAGATACGCGTCGTCTCACCGTAGAGGTAATGCCTCCAGATCTTCAAAGAAAGTACAATAGCTGCTAGCTCAAGGTCGTGCATCGGGTACTTACACTCATGTGGCTTCAACTGCCGAGACGCATAAGCAACGACCTTGCCCTCCTGCATGAGAACACACCCCAAACCGTTATGGGACGCGTCGCTGAAAACCGTATACTCCACTCCTAGAGTGGGCTGAACCAAAACTGGTGCCTCGGTCAAACACTCCTTCAGTCGCTCGAAACTCTGCTGACAAGCGTCAGTCCAAATGAACTTGACGTCCTTCCTCATCAGCTTGTGTAGCGGCGATGCTATTTTGGAGAAGTCCTTCACGAACCGACGATAGTAACCCGCCAGTCTGAGAAAACTCCTCACCTCACGTGCATTCCGCGGAGTCTTCCACTCCGTGACCGCTGCTATCTTGCACGGGTCTACCTTCACACCTTCAGCCGAGATGACATGGCCGAGGAAGGTAACCTCGTGCAACCAGAACTCGCACTTGGACAGCTTGGCATAAAGCTCCTGTTCCAGAAGAATGCTCAAAACGATACGCAGATGCTCGGCATGCTCCTCCTGTGTCTTGGAGTACACCAAGATGTCATCAATGAAGACCACAACAAACTGATCAAGATGCTTCCAGAACACACTGTTCATCAGATCCATGAACACTGCTGGTGCGTTAGTCAAACCAAAGGGCATGACTGTGAACTCGTAATGACTGTATCTCGTGCGGAAAGCCATCTTAGGAATGTGCTCCTTCTTGACGGGAATCTGATGGTACCCTGATCGGAGATCGATCTTAGAGAAGACTATGGCTCCTCTCAGCTGGTCAAACAAATCGTCGATGCGGGGTAACAGATAGCGATTCTTGATGGTAACTTTGTTTAACTGACGGTAATCAATGCACAACCGCATCGATCCGTCCTTCTTGCGAACGAAAAGAACCGGTGCTCCCCAAGGAGACACACTAGGTCGGATGAAGCCCTTATCCAGCAACTCCTGCAGTTGAGCCTTCAGCTCCTTCATATCCGCAGGCGCCATGCGATAAGGTGTGATCGAGATCAGTCCTGTTCCTGGAACAAGATCAATGGAAAACTCCACCTCCCTAGGGGGTGGTAGACCAGGTAAGTAATCTGGAAACACATCAGGAAAGTCACATACCGTAGGGATGTCCCCCCTACCGGGCGCCTCCTGACAAGTGTCACATACTGTGCACAAGAATGCTTCACACTTCTTGCGAATGAGTCGACGAGCATGTATATAGGAGATGAATTCTGGAGCATTCGGAAGAAGCTCACCATGGATCAGTACGTCACTACCATCTTCGGCTTTCAGTCAAACAGTATGAACTCCACAGTCAACAACGGCTTGGTTGGCGGTGAGCCAATCCATGCCTAGAATAACGTCAAACTCCCGATGTGGAAGCTCAATGAGACTCACAGGGAAGATCTTTCCCTGGACTACTAACGGGGAATCGTGATACACATGGGTGAGTCGTAGACTGTGTCCCAATGGGTTGGACACAATTACCGGGTTGTCTAGGTTTTCCCTTGGAATGTTAGGCATAACAGGCAAAGGCATACAAACATATGATAGAGTGGAACCCGGATCAATCAAAGCTGTAATAGAGTTATCGAACAAGGTAAACATACACATGATGACGTCATGGGCTGGCTGCTCAGTACGCCCTCGCATCGCGTAAGTACGGGCCGGGGCCTTCCCCGCCTGAGCGCCAGATGCCTGCCGCTTGGGCTGGCTAGATGCTGCCGCCGACTTCTGACTCTGGGCGGGCTGCGCTGCTGGGGCTGGAGCGGCTGATGCGGTCGAGAATGCCTCACCCGGATTCTTCGGACAATCTTTTCGGAAATGCCCGGCCTGGCCACACCCCAGGCATAGGCCAAGAGTGTACCAACACTCTCTTGGGTGCCTGCGCCCACAGAGGTTGCAAATCGGGTTGCGAAACCCATCCCCGCTCTTGCCCTTCTTCTGTACGGACGCAGATGACTGAGCTGGGGCTGACTTCACCTTCTTACTCTGGTGAGAGCTGCTCGGCGCTGTAAAGGACCTCTAGCTGCTGGTCCCCGCCTTCTGGGGTGGAGGAGGACGAGATGGTGCCGTTGACGCTCCTAGCATCTGCTCATACTCAGCCTTCTTGATGAGGGCCGCATTCAAATCCAACGCATTCTTGTATAACGCGTTGATGTCACTCTGGGGAGAAATGATCAGATGGGTCGAAAGGTCGGGACGTCAACCCTCCACGAAGCATTTGCATCGCTTCTCCACGGTCAGTACGAGGTCTTGCCCAAACCCCGCGAGCTCGTCAAAGTTCTAAGGATACTCAGGCAGTGTGAGTGAACTTCAAAAACACTTCCTGCTTCGCCTCGACGAAGTGCTCAGGGATGTACTCTTCGTGGAAGAGTCAGTCAAATGTGGCCCACTGCACGGGCTCCGGAACGTCTGCTCCCACACGCTTCCACCAGTCGTAGGCGGAATCTTGAAGTAATGCGACTGTGAGGTCGCCACGCTGCTCCTGTGGAACCCTCAGGTTCCCCAACACTCGGATGGTTCGCTCAAACCACCGTTTGGCAATCATGGGGTCGGCGATCTGATCACCAAAGAATTCCTCAGCTCCATTCTTCCGGAGCTTCTCGATGATGACCACCGCCACTGGTGGCGGCGGTGGTGGCAGTAAGCTCCAGCCATCTACTAGAAGAAGTTCATGAAGTTAGCCGCGAACTGCGGCTGGACGATAGGGATGGCTTCTGGTATAGGGCCCACGCCCGGGACCGCCTGCTCGGATGCCTGCTGAGCTGTGAAGCTCGACGCTTTAGTGTGCACGCTCACGTGCTCAGGCTCCCCCTCTGGGATCGCCTGTCCGTCATTGCCAGTTGCTTGACTCATTCTCTAAAGGAATAACTTAAATCAGAACTAATTATAATATGACATACATGTGATCTAAATAACGGTGTACCTTTCCCCTGGGAGTGATGCGATGGGAGATACGGCTGTGGACTTTTTGAAAATACCTTTCTGAACAAGACGACAAAAATATGTTTTTTTCCAAAAACCGAACAAGGCTCTGATACCAAATTGTAACACCCGCCTTCCGGGGACCCGGTTCACCCGTGACCCAACGGACCGGTAGGGTTACATGGACAGTCCGAGAACCATCCGTTACGAAAACATTAATGATTATTTAATAAGAAAACGGTTGGGTCTTAATTAGAGAAATAAGTGCCAGGGAGTTACTCCCAAAACGTGTGTGGTAAAAGTGCAGAGTAATTGCGGAAGTAATTAAATGAGTTCAGTCCAAATTAAATAACGACAAGGGTGGGTTCATGCCCAATCGATTAATGAAGTTATTGAAAGTACTTAAGAGTTTGTCCGTGCGCCGCCCATCTCCCCATCATCACCGCTCTCCAGGGTTGGCACCTGCTCCGTCATGTCTCCCTGCATGTAGCAAAACAACTACACGCTCAGCAAAAGCTGAGGAGTGAATCTAACAAGAGAAACATGAAGTGATAGCCCATATGGCTATACCCATAACAATACCTGTACTTAACGTACGGAACACCACACGTTACTAACTGTTTAGTTTTCACCTGTTAAAGCTATTTCGAATAACGAGGTACATAATGATGATGATATGACTTGATGCATGACTTAAACTATCAGGGACACCCCTGGCTTAGTCTCACTCGACAGGATCACCCCTGCACTCTGGTCATCGTCCCCGAACGGTAACGAGCCGGGCACGACGAAAACATCGCGAGTGGACTAGCAAAACCGGGTAGTAACCGTAACCTGACTACTATGTACGTACACAAGCCCAACATGATGAAAACACGTTGGTCCCCAAAGGTTCCTAGACGGGCCCACTTTAGTAGGCGCATGAAGTCCTACAGCGGTATGCACATGATGAAAACCTAGAACATCCGCCTGGAACGAACATGATGGAATGAATACATTGATTAAAGAAGAGAGTTAAATTCAATTCAGACATATGTGTTTGATTGCGATTCGTTCAACATGATGGCCCTGGGTTCAGAACTTGCTAATAATCGATTATCTGTTGTTGGTAATCGATTATCATGTTGTGCAGCTTCTGTCCCCAAAGTCCTCCAGACTGTGATAATCGATTGTCACCCTATGACAATCGATTGTCAAGTTGGTTTATCTGGAAAGTCCTAAGTTCAGAGAGACCTGATAATCGATTATTGTCTGTGTGATAATCGATTATCAGTGAAGCCAACTCAAACCCTAGAATCCGCAGAGCCTGATAGTCGATTATCACATATGGGATAATCGATTGTCATGTTGTGCTGAACAAACTGAGGAGTCCGGCGTGGCCTGATAATCGATTACACTATCCTGTACTCGATTATCAAGGCACGCTGATTTCCATTTTATTTGTTTGTAGTCATCAAACGTGGGAAGTTTTTAGAATCGAATGTTTTCATTCCCACGCTATGTAGTCGATGAGTTTATGGGGTTCCAAAACATTTATGTTAACGAGTACATAACTTAATAACATGGGCTCACATAAGTTGGATACGAACATGCATAGATTCAACGTAGGTTGCGTATGATATTTCTATGAATACAACGACATAGATTATAACTAAATGTTCTAGAGTTAGAGTGACAACTATTCACCTCTGAACGATGGGGTTGACGAAACTATGAGACGAGATGAACAAACGGTTAGCAAGGAACCAACGAACAGACGAACGACGACTACGCTTCGCACGAACGACCTAACCCTTCTTCCCCTTCAACCTTGCACCCACCGGAACTTCGCCGGAGGTCCTCCTTGCTGCTGGCCTGGCCGAACAAAGGGGAGAGCAAGGTGGATGGTGATGATGACTATGGGAGGTTACAAAAATGGTGGAGGAAAGGAATGGGTTCGGGGTTTTTAATTGGAACCAATTATGAGAGAAATGATGGAGACTTAATGGGTCTTGAATGTGTGTGAGAGTGAGTAACGTGAGAATTGGGTGGGGGGTTACAAATACTTATCCTACTCCGTAGTGTAAAATCTGATCTGAACGGTACGCGCTTTTTCCCCCGAACGGGTCCGAATTGAGATCCGTTTGCGTTTCTGGAATTAGACAGTCAAGATGAATTTAATGATATGATCAAATAATTTTTCTAAGAACTTTTCATTTTCCACAAACTCCGGTCCGGAACATTAATTTATTATTTAAAATAATCAATTCTATTAGACCAGGTTGCAGGGCGTTACAGAACTAATTGGTGTTTATTGCTATGAGACTATGTTGGTTTGACGCTGGAAAACAAAATAGGTAAAAAGTTGGAATCTGTTGTGTCAGACGGTAGGCGGTACCGCCGGGACGGTACCGTGCTACCGTCATACTCTATTGATTCTTCTACCTCTCCCGGTAGCTGCGACCGTACGGTACCTAGGTACCGGGCGGACGGTAGGCCTTACCGCCCCAGTCGGTAGACGGCTACCGTGGCAGTCCTACCGGACGGGTTCATATAGTTTGGATGGTACCCGAGTACCGTAGGATCGGTACCCAGGTACCGTGAGGACGGTACCCCGTACCGTGAAGGGTACCGTCTGGTACCAAGTGCCGGGTCTGTCGATATGTGTTTTCGTCAAGGATTGATTCCGAGACCTTATGTGTTGTATGCCGGTAAGTTTGGATATCAATACCCAGTGCTAGGCCGCTATGTGTTATAATTGTGATTGCTCTGTGTTGATCCAACAATTAAGTGAACTAATATTATTATGGTGATCCAACACATGTGTGATTATGTGAAATGCACATGTTTGGATATGATATTACAAGTATGAGTGGGCTGATCCAGCACACAGCAAACAGGTGCCACGTGTTGATCCAACGCGTTTGGTAAGGTAGGTCTACCCATAGGAAAACTTTGGGACTGACATAAATATAGGAAATTAAGAGTATAAACCAGGTGGTTGCCTGCTGGGCTCGAATGGTAAATTCGAACCGGGTAAAAACGTACGTACGGGTATCCTTGAACTGCCTGGTGATCCATCAGGTGGGGATTCCACCCACCCAACGGAGAACTCCTTCGTTGGTTGAGCATGACCTGCTGATCCAGTGGGAACCCTCATGTCTCCCATACAGTAAAGTTATAGTCCTTAGATTAGAATAATTAACAGGGACAAGTTCTTGGTGATCCACCAACCGTGAGAACTCCCTCGTTGATTGGGCTTCGTTGCTGATCAAGTGGGAGCAATCATGACTCCCAGAAAAGTATTATGTCATTAGTCTATGTGTAGAATTCAAGTACAGATGGATGGTGATCCACCATGGCAAGATACGCTCTGCTTGACAAAAATGAGAAAGAGCAGGTGCCAGGTAAATTATATGATGAATTGTTTATGTGAACTGCGTGATATTAAACCTATGTGCATGATATCATGTAATGATTATGAATTAGTGGGTTCGCATATGTGTATGTTCGAACTGTTAGATATTTCTCACTCAGCTTCGTTGCTGAGCGTGTAGCCTCTTTTCCCTTTGTTACACGTAGGTAATCACGGAGGGACTGACTTTGGAATCCATCCTGGAGGGCAGCACGACGAAGGAGATGTATGGATGCAAGGACTTAATAATGATTGATTTAATTACAAGGCTTCCGCACTGTTTGTATAAACTCTGATATGTAAATTAAATGGTTTGAATTGTTTTAGTTTTTAAATGAAATGTTTTTATTTATTGAAGAATATTGTTCGTGGATACCAATTTAGTAGCAACCCGGTTCGCTAATCTATTTATTCGGGTTATGCGGGTTGGGGTGTTACAAGGCAACCATTGGAATGATATCACACCATATCTCGTCGGAATAACTTCTTCCAATGCTTAATGTAACCAAACTCTGGGAATCCACACGTAATCCCTTGCCATGATTCAACCATTGAATCGTGTATGGCCTCGGGTGTGGTGAGGTCTTCAACTTCAGCTTATCTACCAACGTTTTTGAAGCGACGTTGGTACAACTTCCACTCTCCACGATCAAAGTACACATCTTCTTTTGAATAGTACAACGGGTATGGAAAATGTTTTCCTGCCGTAGTTGATCATCGGGACTAGCTATGCTACTCAAGGCCCTTCGGATGACCAAGAGTTCTCCTTCGTCAGCTCCAACACACTCTTCTTCTTCAAGCTCTTCTTCAGCCCATCAGGGACTGATCTCTTCTTCTTCGCATTCAACAATGGCCATTATCTTCTTGTTGGGACATTCATTGGCAAAATGTCATATGCCTTGGCAACAAAAACATTTGGGAGTTCGGGTGTTTGTTTGGGCTGTTTTGAATGCGGGTGGGTTGGAGGAGGTGGACGGAGTGGAGTTGGGTTTTCAATGGGTGTTTTGGGAAGGAGTGTTCGGGGTTGTTTTTGTGGTAGTCGGAGATGGTTTGGAAAAGGGGGAGGTTCGAATAAATGAAGTTTTGTTCCTCTTAAGTTGGGATTCAACTTTGAGGGCCAACTTAGAGAGTTCTTAAAAAGTATCATAAGGCTGCAGCTCCACTACATTTGCTATTTGAGTGTTTTGTCCAAATAGATAACGTACCAAAGTTTGCGAGTCATTTTCCTACAGGTCACACCTCATCAAGAGCTCTTCAAACTCCCGAGTATAGTCTTCAACTGAGCGAGGACCTTGCCTTAGGTGTTGAAGTCGGGAAAAGTTGTCTCATATATATTGTTCGGGCAAGAACTGTAACGCCCCGAAAATAGGCCTATCAGAATTAATTAATTGATAACTAATTAATTACTGAGAAAGACCCAAAAATATGTGAATTATAAAGTTGGTCAATAAATAATAAAAATTTTATCATTATGTAGAGTTTGACTATCTGATTCCAACAGTTCAATCGGATTTCAATTCGGAGAAAGTTGGACCAAAAAGTGTTCCCCGACTGGGACCAAATTAGTCCCAATCAGGGACTTGCGTCTGGGAATCCTAGCAATCGCCGCTCCCTCCACCGAGATGCCAGAACAGGGAAACGGATGTCACCAAACCTGTGTCTTCTTCCTCTCCACTCCACTATATAAACCTCTCTAAACTTCACCATTTTTCACCATTCTTCTTCCAAGAGATAGCTAAAAGTATAAAGAGTGGAGTAGTGCTGCCAAGAGAGCTTCCCGTCGCCGGAGATAGGCACAATCCTCGCCGGATGTTTCGCCGAAAAAACATCAAAACCTCCATTACGCTTCGAGGTAAGCCTGTAGATATATCTGAAAGGTAACCATGCAAAGATAGGCAGCGGAATATAAAAATTTTTACATCCTAACATGATTATCTTGCCCATAATCACGTACTAAAACTTATAGTAGTAAGAAATTTGTACCTTTCTTCGTAAGCGGTAAAAACGAAGAAGTCGTAGGAAGAGCGTTGAAAGTGCAAACGTAACCGTTCAAGCGTCCGGTCTCCAACTTTGACACACGAACAACGCTGGAGTCTACCACAATCTTTATGCTAGTAAAGATTATAGTAGTATAAAATATAAAGATTAAAATTGGGATAATAATAATCTTGTATATTTCTATAGAAAATATTTCCAATAATATTTAGAAAATATTAAAGATATTTTCTATACACAAAATGATATTAATGGAACCAAAATATTATTTTCTCACACTAGAAAAATTATGCCCGAATCATGCATATCAACCATGGCCTAATCTCACACCATTTATTTTGAAAGTGGCGTGCCAAAAGTGTATATAAAAACAAATGATTAATTTCACTTTGTCATTAACTAAATGACAAAACATTATTAGCTCCACTAACTTCAATCAAGGAAATTTGATTCTTTAAAATCTCCACTTGGCCGTATGATGATATGAGAAGGATATTTGAAATTCTTCTCCACTAAAATGTTCAAAGTGTATTTTATTTGACACCAAAAATTAATATAAAATTAATTTTAGATCAAATAAAAATACCAATATCATTTTTAAACAAGTATACAAATATACTTTAAATAGTTTATGTCAAAATACTTATTTTCATAATTAAAATGACAAACCAAAATAAAATATTCAATATAATATATATATATATATATATATTAATCGGTACATATATAATATATATATATATAACCGAATATTTATATATATAATATTATATTCCAAAATATTTTATTTTACTATTTTTACAAATATACAAATTACTTATTATCCCATTCTTTAATCTTACTCCTTAAATTGTCCAAAGTGTGTGACCCGTATAGGCACTTATAAAACTGGCCACAGTATTGGCTCTGCACCAATACTATAAGCAATAAGCGGTATCTAGCAACACGTTATTGCCCCCCAGATTATAATTTAAGACGTTTGCACCGTCAAAACCTTTCCACGACTCAGACTCCGTGTAACAGTATCCCTTTGTCTCAATGTCTAGACTTAATGCAAGGGATTAATAAAATCCAACTTGTATCCATTAAGTCATTCACTGATTTATCAAGGCTGACTAATAGGAACAGACGTCATAAAAGCTTCTCAGCATGGCCATGCAATTTCCTCAGTCATAACTTATCAGTGGGCCCCATAAGACATTAATCTCTTAAAAAGAGTAGTGACAAATCCTATGTACGTAATCTACGTTTCTGAATACGCGCTGCGGCATACCCAAAACAAAGCCTGTATACCATCCTTATTTCATATGGCTTAGGACGATGCATCAAAGTATGCGGGTTCACATATGCAGAAAACGTAATACTTCAAGTCGAAGGATAGTTACACCCGTGGTTGCGCTAAAGATGCTTAGAGCATGAACTAAAAATTCAAGCAACATCTTTAGAATGGGTCAGTCCGGCATCCTATTATCTCTAGATAATATCTGCCCATGTGCGGATGCGAACACACCGTCATTGACCATGAGACTAAGTCAAACATCCAACATACACTAGTCTCACATGCATTAACGATATCCCACTCTCGTTAATACTCGACTATGGACATTTAGATAAATATTTATTTCAAGATGTTAGTCTCATCAGCAGAATAACACTATGTGATAAACATCTTTAAATATAAATCTAGGAATATAATATTTGTTTACATTAGCATGAGATGTGTAAACATATTATATCTGCCTATAGATGATAGAATAATGATAAACAGTTGGCCATCAGGGCACAACTCCAACAATCTCCCACTTGCACTATGGCCAATCTGGCATCGGTCGAATGCCCATGGACTTAGTGTGACCCTCATGCTTTAGCTTTCCTAAAGGCTTGGTCAAGGGATCGACTATGTTGTCGTCAGTATCTACTTTGCAAATCATCACATCTCCTCTATCTACGATTTCTCGTATGATGTGATAGCGTCGTACAATGTGTTTGGTTTTCTGGTGAGATTGCGGTTCCTTTGCCTGTGCAATGGCCCCAGTGTTGTCGCAAAACAACGAGATAGGGTCATTAATACTAGGAACCACTCCAAGTTCAGTAATGAACTTCTTGATCCAAACAGCTTCTTTTGCTGCCTCGGCGGCAGCTATGTACTCAGCCTCTGTAGTTGAATCGGCGGTTGTATCCTCCTTAAAGCTCTTCCAACTAAAAGCTCCGCCATTCATGAAAAACAAATATCCTGCTTGTGATTTTGAATCAACTCTGTCGGTTTGGAAGCTAGCATCAGTGTAACCAACCACCTTTAGCTCTTCCTCACCACCGTATACCAGAAATGCATCCTTAGGATGTTCTTGACCGCTGTCCAGTGTGCTTCTCCAGGACTTCCCTGGTATCTACTGGTCACGCTTAAAGCGAATGAGACATCAGGTCTAGTACATATCATGGCGTACATGATGGATCCAATCGCAGAGGCGTATGGAACCTTCATCATGAGTTCCTTTTGCTCGGGAGTAGAAGGACTCTGGCTCTTGGAAAGAACCGTGCCAGGTGTCATAGGTAAAGATCCTTTCTTTGAGTTAGACATGCTAAATCGATCAAGGATTTTATCTATATATGTACTTTGATTTAGACCTATTAACTTTCTTGATCTATCT